TAACGGAAATTTTATGTAAAGGGGGAGACCAACACTAGTAAACGAAAAGCAATTTCACCAATTATTGCTCTTGTGGCAAGTGGTGGGAATAGTTGGTCGCAATTTTCGAACAGGCGCGTGGTCCTTCACGTGATATTTGGATATCTCTTTCTTTAAGTCTAGTTTACTTAACCATCTCTCACTCCTGGTAGATGACTTCAATAATTGCTTTTGGGAAATGTACATAATAGCCTAATTATAATTGAGTACATCGGTCCTCTTTCTGTATTCTATAGAAATGAAATACCGTAAATCCTCTTCTAAGCACCCCCTCTTTAAGAAGATCCCCACAAAGTAGAACAACTCAAGTAAAAGAAAGTTGGAGGTCAGCATGCAGCCGACAATCCGAATCAAATCGAACTTCCGAGTTTTACATTTGTGGTTGATTAATACAATAAATTAACATTTATTAGTGAAAAATAATTGGGGGAAAAGGGGGTCTTCGTATAGAGGGGGTGCTTAGAAGAGGATTTATCGTATTTCATTTCTATAGAATACAGAAAGAGGACCGATGTACTCAAGTATATTTAGGCTATTATGTACATTTCTCAAAAGCAATTATCGAAGTCATCTACCAGGAGTGAGAGATGGTTAAGTAAACTAGACTTGAAGAAAGAGAAATCCAAATATCACGTGAAGGACCACGCGCTCTGTTCGAAAATTGCGACCAACTATTCCCACCACTTGCCACAAGAGCAATAATTGGGGAAATTGCTTTTCGTTTACTAGTGTTGGTCTCCCCCTTTACATAAAATTTCCATTCGGGGATAGACGTTAATTTCCACTTTTTGGATGGACCGACAAAAGCAAACCGGTTTGCTCCGTTGGGAATACCGACTCAAAGGATTTTTGCCGAAAACAGGACGCGGCTGGTCACGTGATGCAGTTACAAACAATTTTTTACATGAAATTGAAAGATTTTTAGGTTAAGATTGGCCTTGAAACTAACTTACAACTCTATAATATTTAAAAATTCGGAGAAGTCTGTACAGACCCAAGCCTTAATCTACTTGAGAAGTTAGGAATCTCTAACAATTCCACATTGACTGTTATGTTTTTAGGCATGTTGCCCGACTTTGTTTGCTGGGTCGTCTCTCCCTTCTTGAACTTCAAACGGGTATGTTACACCGGCTGCTGCGCGTCACATTGACTTCAAAATGACCTGTGCCAAACAGAAGGCAAATAGTTAATAAATGTAACTAGCACGTCGTTTCAATAGCAATGATGATAACTTGATTTCTTAGTTTTCGTGCTTCGCGCTCAATCTAAGTGCTTCATCTAAGTGCGTTCAGTTTTAAAGATGTTACGACTGAAAACAGATGTTATGGTGTGGCAAACGCTTTGAAGCACTTTGCTTGTAGATTAGTACACAAGCATTGTTGTGTTACCTTTTGTAAAAGGCTAAACGACAGAATTTAGACAAAAAGGAAATAATCAAATCTGTACTCAAAGCACCTAAACTTGATTTTATCATATCCAGTTTAGGAAAAATTCAAGGATGGACCCTTGCTCAAATTTAGACGTGTCAATGATTTATTGAATTCAGTGACATCCATTGAAATTTAAGGACTCTTCAAAATCAAGACTGGCCAAAGCAACTTATCAAGAAACAACGGCCAAAATTATATATACATAACAAACATTAACAAAATCGGAGTGCAAAGAAAGTCAGTTTTACAGCCTTCCATTTGGGCAAGTGGTAGCTAACATGTACTAGCCCACAAGTCATTTCAACTAGCCCCAAAACCCTTTTTGATTTGCAGGATTGATTACAATCCTCTTGTAATTTGAATTTCCCCAAAAAACAGCACTTGCCTGTCGGGCAAGTTAAGAACAAAATCACTAGCCCGATGGCAAAATCCACTAGCCCCAAGCTATCAGACAAACCTTTCTTTGCACGCTGAAAATGTAACTTACCACTCTGACTGCTACAATCTGTGATAAAATAGTTGTCAAGTTGCAATATTAAATTATTACAAAAAAGTAGCAAAATTATGGACACAGGCATACCAACTATTGTACCCTGCTATTCCTTCTCTTTGATCTCTTTTCTCCCAGACCAAACTTGCACTTTTTGTGCTAATAAACAACACTGAATTGGAGAAAGGGGGTATTGCATTAAAGTGTGGCAAATATTATTAATATTGTTCTACACTCCCAGTCTTGTCACAGATTGTTGCCTATAGTCATGGGAACCCAAGATGCAATTTAAGGCATTACTAGTTTCAACTAACTGCTTAAGTAAGAAGCTTTGCTACACCATTACGATATGGTGTACTTCTCTTTTTTCTTCTTCTTCTCCTACAATGGATCTTTGACCTGACACCTACACCATGTACTGTAATAGCAAAAGGTAAAAGTAAAAAAATACCACTAGTTAAATGTAGAAAGATGTGTATGTTTCTATGATATTGTGGCTGAGGTTTTCTTATTGAAATTTCCATCCACAATCAACCCTAATAATAGCTTGACATCTTTATTACTTGGTCTTTATTATATGGCCATGTCTCAAAAGGACTGGAAACAAAGAAATTCAAGAATTAATTGGCTGAAATCGATCTTGACTGCGGCCTAGATTTTCCCATCTAGACTGGCATCTAGACTGATCTTGTTGTAACAGTAAAACTGTTGTCCTCAAAAAGTTACAAACAAAGAATATGAAAAAATTGGCTTGTTCCTGTTAAATTCTAAATGGAAGAATCAGTGGACCTTCACGAGGAAGCAGGTAAAGAAAATAGGCAAATGTTGGCAAAATTAATTTGAGTCATGCTCAGGAAGCTATGAGCAAACATGAAGTCGAAATTGATGTTTTTGTTCCTTTGCTTTCTTGTTTGGCCATATAATAAACATCTTATTAACCGAGCTAGGTTGGTCTGTATGGGAGAATCTTGACCTCAGTCGCTGGTACAGACCTCACTACGTTCGGTCTGTAATGGCGACCTCAGTCAAGATTCTCCCATACAGACCTCCCGTTCGGTTAATAAGAGCCCATTAAACAATCTCTTATGCATGACCTCTTCACTTAACCCTTTCACCCTAAGCAAGTTTTTGGCCAAGATTGCAAACTGGGCATCCAGGAGGTACACTTTCTCATAAAATTTTGAGATTAAGAGCATTTTCCTTGAATATATAATCTTACCAATGTGGGTGTCCAAAGAGTGCCTGGACACCCTTCTGGATAAAACCTTGCCCCAGAGTCAAAAAGTTTAATACCAACAAATATTTTCCTCCCTTATTGTAACACTGCTCAGTCAATCATAAAAGGCCAGTGTGGAGGAAGTGCATTTTGACGTTAGGGTTTACTTGGTCAGAACATTATTGCAACTTACAGCCCAGGATGGGTTAAAATGTCTGACTTTACCAATAACAGGGCCCATTCTCTACAGGCTAGTTTTCACTAGCACATAAGCATAAGGACATACACACGTGCAGATCTTGGTCAGTGATATTTTCTCCCTTGCTTAGACACACGGTGGGCCACATGGATAATCTTGACCACTGCTTCTATATGTTTCAACTGACAACAACGGCATTGGCATCGTCAGACAGTGATTCACTAACAGGTTCAACGAGATATGGAGGATCGTGCATTGATGACTTCCAAGAGGGAAGGGGTGGAAGAGCAGTTAGAAGAGTTGACCTGATTGTGACTCCACCCAATCAATTCCCATTTTCTTTACTAGGATGGACAGGTTCTAAGGTGTGTACACCAGCTTCTGTCAGAAATAAACTGTTATGCCACCCTTAAAGTGGTCTCCTCTTGCAAAAACTTGACGCACCAAATTGACTTATTGTGTGCTCAATTTTTGCGTTAACATCTGTGGTTATTTTGCAACAACTTTTAGGACTTGTGTTAGTGATGTATTACGATGGATGATGTTACTGTCAATAATAATATTATGCACCTGTTTTTCTTGTCTAGCAATTTAACCGCTCAATAAGGGACTATGCCTGGAAAATGTTGAAAATCAAGTTATCGAACCGTGGAATGTGGGATCATAACCAAGTGGTAAGTTCTTGTGTCCTTAAGAACAGGGGATCATAGATGTCACTATGCTGCACTACCAATAATCATATTCTTTTGACTATAAATGTAAAGATATGCTTCCTTTTTTAGGCTTTAAAGTACTTTGAACAATTCCTGCCAACAAGTGGGGAAAATATAGGATGAAAACAACTGAAGCAGATCTTACTCCCTAATAAATTTTATTTACTTGTTTTAATTACGTCAATAATTTAACTGACTCACTCTGACAAAGGGCTAGTGCTGTAAATTTCAGCCTCTGAATTTTCTCACAGTGGCCAATGTATTTTATCAACCAAACTTGTTTTTTACTTTCCCAAAATAGCATGTAGAACAGGTGCTTTTAGGAGGGGTTTTTCAGGTGAGCAAATGTAAGCGCCAAGCAGGTGTGGAGCATGAAACAATAGCCTTCCCCCATTTCAGGTCTTGTGCTTCATGCCTGCTTTATGTTGGCCTTGATCATTTGCCCCTGCATGGCAGGCGCCAGTTAGTTTTACGGTTTGTTGTATGCGTGCATCCTCAAAATTTCTCCCTTTGCTCTAAAAATTCTGGCAACTATGTTTATAACGTGAAAAATTGTAGGCTAGCTCTCCAAGGCAGCCCTACAGTTTCCTTAGAAGCAAACCCCCTTACGTATAATATGGCTTCTCTTCTTTGCAGCCCCCATGTCTCCTTGAAGCGAACTCAGAAGAAGAGATATTTGCCACGCTGAAACTTGAATACAGAAAACCAGAGGACAGGAATGTATAAAGTTATCATTTATTTCACCAATCAATCAATTATCAATCTTATTTCCTCACATCTTTGTAATTGTTACGAGTTCGTTTTGTGAGTAGCCTGCGTAGCTGGCGGTATTGTGTAGTACAGGACAACTCGGATTAATATTAATCCGTGGATTATAATAATAATAGATTATAATATGGTTATTATAATCCGGTAATAGATTATTATAATGCAGTAATAGATTATTATAATCCAGTAATAGATTAAGGCACGGCAAAAATTGGAAGAATTAAATTATTATTAATAATAATCATCCGGATTAATATTAATCTCTATTATAATCCAGATCAGAGCTATGACAGACAAACTGCAGACATTACACGCTGAACAAGGGACTGACAAATCAGTCACACGATCACTTGCATATGTTAGAGCTGGTTGGCGACATTCTTGTTAAAGTGAATGACAAGGCACGTATAAAGTATCGTTATCAAAGCATACAGGATATGTTGTCTGCAAGGTCACTTGCCAACATAACTCTAGAGTTCTTCCGTCCAGCTGAAATTGGTGCCAACACTTCAGTCAATCATACGCCTTCGTGGCTGCCACCAGCTAACCCATCAACAACAATGGCTCCTTCTATGACACCAATCCTGAAACCCAGTCCTCTAACACAAACTCCTACTTTAAGTCCAGCATATACGCAGACGGTCCAAATCATGAAATGCTCCCTGGGAAATAACTATCTCTATGGATCAAACTCAGAAAGACTGCGTCTTTTAGAAATAACTGGAAAAGATTCAAGGATTTCCTTTGATAATGTGCGCACTGACATCCCTTTCACTTTGTTATTTTTTTTATTACTTAAGATCTTTACTCTATTCTATGTTAAAAATCTTCATGGCCCTGCAAAAAATTCAGTTGCAACTGTATTACCAGCAGAGCTGAGACAACTGCCGACTTCTGCTACTAAAATATAATAACGTATAATAAGGAGTGCGGTTATTGACTGAATGTAATTAAGAGTTTTGTTCACAAACTACTAGCACAAGTAGCAAATTCGTCGTGGTTAGAATAGAATATTTTCTTTATTGAGAGACTTGTACAAATTTGAGCTATGTGGGATTATATTTATCAGATTAATATTAATCCTAATCGTTTAAGGTACGGCTCAAAGCTCAGTTATGGATTATAATAATCTATTACTGGATCTAATATTAGGATTAATATTAATCTGATTAATATTAATCCTACATAAGATTAATAGTAATCCTAATTGATCAAGGCACGGCTCAAACCTCAGTAATGGATTATAATAATCTATTACTGGATTATAATAATCATTAGGATTAATATTAATCCGAGTTGTCCTGGTAGTAGTCGAGTGAGATTTGGCGGCGGAGCCGTTGTAAATTAGTCGAGTGAGATTTGAGGGCGGAGCCGTCACGAGCGGCGAAGCCGCGAGAAATACCGCCTGCCAGAGAACCATGATTTTTTTAATGCCGCCCACTTTTGTCACGTTAGCTGATCCCAATTAAATCAGCCAATCAAAGAGAAACCTGCAATTTGAAACTTCCGATTATTTTCGCGCGAGACAGGTTAGAAATAAGCGTTGACAGGCTAAACACGACTCCTAAGCTCGTGATAATGTGAAACGTGACCTTGTGAGTTTGCTTGAACAGAGGTTTTTATTTTTATTTTCTCGGCTCTCGCTCGAAGGTTACTAGCACTACACAGTGCACGTATCATTCTAAACTTTGACTGAGTCAATCTTTTTTTGCAACACTAGGCTTAACATTAAAAGGTCATGAAGCTGGTTTGTTACATGCATACTGAGTAACCATTTCCGGTGGTTTATTCTTCTGTAGGTGTTCCTGATAGGATTTGATCTCAGATGCAGTTGTAAAGTGTTTTAATTTTCTTTGAACTTTGTTTCTTACGGCTAAATAAAGACAATTCCAGCGCTGTGAAGTTTAAAGACGTCATTTCGGCAATTTGGTCATCAATTATGCTCTTTTTAAAGCGGAAATCACAATCACTTTACATGTACGTCTTTTCCCTATTTGCCATCTGCTCCCTAAATTGGGAAATATACGCGAGGGCTCATCTAACATGATTGACATATGTATAGCCCTCGACCAATCCGTTTCCCCGCACACTGGTGTGCGGACTATTCAAAATACTGGGGTTTTCTGGCAGGCGGTATTTCAACCGCCTCGTCCCTACTCCCTTTTTTTGGAACACGTCTCCGCCGCCAAACTTTAACTCGCACCCACACAATACCGCCAGCTACGCAGGCTATTTGTGAGTGGCGGATAGTTCGTAGTCTAAACAGAACGCAGGGTTGTCGGAACAGCAACAAGGTTATTTATTCCAAACGACCGTAGTAAATTCCACACGAAACTTCACAACAAGCACACGCTAGGCTTGTAAATTACAGTTCGACCTCCGTCACACTTGATTAAACACGGCCTCTGCCAAATATACACGCGACCTCTGTCACACTTCAATAAACACGGCCAGGGGCGTAGCCAGGATTTTTCAAAGGGGGGGTCACCATCCGGGGATCGCCGACTATATATGGTTTATACCCCTGCTCTCCCTCGTGTATCAGCGGGCTCAGTCGTATTATCGCGGTATGAAGGCCCATATTAACTAATTAAAAAAAAAGAGGGCTTTTCAACAATGGCTTTTACGGCCAAGATATTGTGATGGCGTTTTTGCCACCTGAATATTGTAGGTTGTTTGCTCAAAAGAAGCGGTGAGGGTAAAAGGCGGAATGAGTTTGCGGAATGGCATGTGGCATGGCTTGCGGAATGACATAATTATGCGGAATTTAATATACGCAGATCATTTCCAAAGAAATAAATTAAACTGAAAAGAGCGCCCATTTTTGGCGCCAATCAATTTGCAAACGCAGCCGCTGTTTTAATGTTGCGGGCTTAACATACGATGACAATCAAAAAACCACGAAGGCTCATTGTCGACCAGCCTTGTCCACACAGCCAAAAAGTTTCTTCGTCTATTGAAGAAAAGATGTTTTCGAAGGTCACGCTCCCTTCTACTTTAATTAATTTTTTTCTGCAAAAGATGTTTGTACGATTAACTTAACAGTTTCTTGTTACCTATATTTGTATTCCAAACCGTGTGAGAAGTGTTTCTTTATGAGACTGTGGGTTACGTCATCGTGACATAATTAACAGTTAATGAATGAGGCTGAGTATCTTATGAAGAATTATGGAGATCGAGGAGGGTGTTATCCGTCGAGGCCGTAGGCCGAGGCGGATAACACGCTCCGAGATCTCCACAATTCTTCATATGATACGAAAGCCGAATTCAATAACTGTTTTATTATTCATTCAAACTAATTCCTAGTTTAAAAACATAGCTAAAACATGCTTACCTCCATCGATCCATCGATGTTCAGTTCATCTTCGATAGTGTACGTTTAGGTTTGTCCAGCTCCGCAAATATTCTCCAAATAGCAGATGTCGCCCTTCGAGTTGTCTTCTTGCTGTTCTTGCCATGTTTTTAGCTATTTTTTTGCCTATTTCTTACTCTTGAAACGAGTGAAATGTCCGCCATTTTTTCAAGTTCACAACCAAAACAATTCAACCTCGTCCCCAGGTCTTCTCGGTCAAAGGTGCCTTAACCTGCGAAAACACTGCATTTTTGACGTCATTTCCTCGTTAAAGTCAAAATTCTTCCAAATTTGGTCATCAGTAACTGGTTATGGTGAATTAAACGTGTGCTTTTAACCAATCAGAATCGGGGAAATATTTTGAATGAATAATAATTGATAATATTCAGAGATGAATCAAATCTTGTATTTTGTTTCCTCAGTTGCGAGCTTGAAACGTGCGAAACAGCAAAATCGACCAAAATGTAAATTTCGTGGCAATAGTTGAAAAATCAAGTTCTTTCATTCATAGATAGCTTTTAGGTTTATAAGAAACCTAACGTAGATTGTTCCCGCCGAAAGCCTTTTATTCGTGAGAAAAAATAGAAGATCGGTTTTCGATGTCAGAGTCCGTCTCAGACTGCATTAATTCTTAACCTGAAATTCGCTAACATCAACTTTCCTCGCGTTCGCAAACGAAGCTGGATGGAGAAATTTGGACACTTTTCACGAACAGAAAAATTATTTTCCTTCCACTAGAAGATTTTTTCTGAACAATAGGGAAGCTGGTTGTACTGAAATAATTTTAAACATGAGGGACAAAGTTTAAGTTCGTTACTCATTTTCGACGGCAATATTTAACATGTGGTATACCTCCAAATTCTCTTCTTGCTATTTA